CAGTAAGCAGCACCTGGGGTGAGGGACATGGCAGGGAGATGAGGGGCATTCTGATGACAGAAGAGAGCACCGAATGGCTGCTCAGCCTTACAGCATCCCTGCGGCTCCACACATTCGCCGCCCCACGGCGCAGGGAGGGTCCCTCCGTCCCAGCCACAGCAGGACTCGGGGCTCTATCAATGCGGCCGTTGTTCTGTGCGTTCTCCATCCCGGCCCTAGAGGACCTCCCAGTCTCATGATTTTCCTCCTTTTTTATTCGAAGCCCGTCCTGCACCGCAGCAAAGGCGCCTTTATGCGCGCTCTCCGTGGCAGCACCCGGGCGCACGGGGCGGCCCGGGGCAGGCATAACTCAGCGGGGCCGGGCTGGTTCGGCTGCGCCGGGTGAGGCAGCGAACAGCGCTCTGCCACTTCTTAGGAGACCCCAAGCACGCCGTGAGAGGAGGAGAGGAAACCTCGGGTCGGGCAAAGACTTTCACTGCACTCACAACCGCGGCCGCGTCTCAGCGTCGTGAGAGCCGCGTGCGGGCCACCGCCACGAGCGGAGCAGCTCCCCCCGGGCTGCAGCGGGGCCTTGCCGGGTTCGCGTGCACACGGGCGCAGATCCGAGCGGCAGCGACCAGCGCGGTAATTCTGCAGCGATGTCGGGCCGGGCGGACGGCGGCGCGGGGCCGCGCGAGGCGGCGCAGGACGGGGCGCGGTGCCGCCGCGCGGCCGCCAGGTGGCGCCAGAGACCGGGGCGGCGCGCGCGACCGGGCATCGGCCTCGCGGGCAGCTCGCGCCCCGCGTCCTGCGCTCCTCGGCCCGACCCGGCGGCGGCCGTGGCGGCGGGGGGCTCCGACGCGGCTTCGTGCCTGGGAGTTTTTCAGATGACCGTAGATCGGATTAGCGCGATGCCAATGTTTTAAAATAATCGAAGCGAGAACGGTTCACAGCCCCGCTCGAGTCCCGGGCACTCGGGGCCCGGAGCCTCGGCAGAAGCGCTGCCGCGCCGCCCGACCCCGCAGCCAGGAGCGCCGCCCGCCGGCCGCCACCGCGCCCGTCCCGTGCGTCGGAGCGCCTCGCGCTGCGTGACGGCGCCGTGCGCCCGCCTGAGCCGCGCCGTCCTCCCGCCGATCCTCCCACGTGCGCGGGCCGGTCGCTCCGCACCTCGCTGCGGGTTTTCGCCTCCGGCCCCTCTGTGCCAGCGGAGCCCCGCGTGGCGCTTTCAGCCGCGATGGCACACGAAGGTCGGGCTCGGTGGGAGCCGTCGACCCGGACCTCGCGTTCCTGCGCGGTGTGGCCGGGGAAACGCGTGCCGACGGGCGGTGCGCTGCTGCTCTGCGCCGCCCGCTGTCCCGTCCTCACCGTCGTGGCCACCGCCGGGCACGAGTTTCCATTTGACCCGAAGGAGAGCATCCCCCAGTGGAAAAGGTCAGACGCTTCTCAGCTCGCAGCCTCGCTACGTTCCTGCTTGTCCCCCAGGACCTGAGCGGAGCTGTTAAACCCACAGACTAACAAAGGCAGGGGTGGCTCCCAGCCCTCTGAATGATGGGATTGGAACTTGGCTCCATCCGTGCTGCTGGGATTTGCAGGGTACTGTAGGGAGAAATAACTGCAATTTCTGCTTTTTCATCTTTTGCTGGTTTTACACAAGTTTACAACGTGTGTGTGTGAGAAAACAGAGGACTCTTTTCCCTTAATATTGTTGCCATTCCCTGGGTTTCATGTTCCTGAGGGAGCTCACCAAAGCTAATGGGATGGAGCTATTAGGGCTCAACACACTTTCCACCTTTTTCCCACCCCCTATTTTTCTTTACTCTTCTCCCACAGCCCCATGAAAACATACCAATTAATCCAGGTTTAATAGCTGAGGTCTTTATTTATTTATTTTTTTTATATACAGTAAAAGTGTCACAGATAAATCTGCAACAATCAGACGAGACAAATGTAAATCTCTCTCAACAATTAGCAGCTTAAGATCTACAAACTACAGTGTTACGTTCACATGTGTCATTTCTGTACTCTTCAGTCCGTGCAAGTGAGTTTTTCAGTTTATTTTTTACACTTTTAAAACACACTTACAGCTAAATCAATTGCCTACCACTATACCACCTGGCATACACGACACAGACACACGGTTTTAGCTCTTTAGCCACACTCAGAATTCACTTAAAAACTGTCAGAATTACCCAATCTCGGACCCCTTTGTAGCTTGGCTTATTTTGTTATAATGCTGCCTTTTTGTTTAATTAAAAAAAATGCATATTTGTCAAAGCTGAAAGACAGTGCTTTTCTGTCCCAGTGCAACACGTACAGAACTCAATAATTAATCTGATCAGACCCTAAAACTCACAGGACTGGAATAAACCAATGAAATCATTGCTGTATTTGCATGCTCAGTATCATTGAACTAAACTAATGAAGCTGAGAGGAAAGGGAAATTCATCAAATCAAAACCAGTCTTTTTTTGCATCAAGACGACTTTGTTTTTTGTTTTTTGTTTTTTTTTTTTCCATTGAGAAAACAAATAGGAAAAAACAGATGAACTTCACCCAAACCTCAGAATTTCTCTGAAGAGCTGCTGCTTTCCCAACTAACACAGTCCATTATATTCTTCCCTTTTCATATCCCAAGTTGATATGCGCTAAACATGTCCAAATAATTCCAGAATTCTTCCAACTCTGAATATGAAATGTTGGGGAAAACATTCTGCAACTCAGAGATGGTCAGTAAAATAGAGTACATCCATAAGGAAGGTCCACAAAAGGTACTCACACGTGCACACCCACACCACGTACTCTTCTACGCATCATCCAGGAATGCTTCATCAAGAAAGCAAACACAACCACTACAGGGAAAGGGAGCCTTAAAGCTAGAATCACATTTCCAACAATATAATCATTGTTAACCTATCAGAAATCGTCACAGACCTTCAAATCGAAGAGGGAGGAAAACCCCAAAACATTCTGCTAACGCAAAAGGCAAAACACATGGCAGTCCCATTAGGATAAGAAAAGTGGATGCAGCATCATATGTGGCATTACTGCAGATGACTTTCTGGAATGGAAAAAAAGTGTCGAGAGAGAAAGAGACACAGACAGACATAGTCTAGAACCACATACACGTGGCCTTCACCAAACAGTTTTGAGGTGATAAGTTTCTATCAAGCCTACACCTGGCAAATAGCAAATGGCATTTACTGACAGTGACACAGTTGAGACGCTAAATGAAGCTAGGATATAAAGAAGAGAGACAATCACTGCCTTCAGATACTACAGGTGAGTGGCACCGAGCCTCCAAATCCATTGGCTTCCAATTGCCTCCTGCTTTGACCACAGGAAAACCTACCATGAGCTCTTTTAGAGTGACCAAAACTGAGGAGAACAAAGGTGCAGAGGCCAGGAACCACAAATAAAGGCAACAACACTTTTCAGTTATGTACCAAATTATTTCTTACTGTTATTCATGCTGTTATTTCTGACAAAACCTAATGGAAGAAGATGATTTCCATGTAATCTGTACCAGCCAGATAAGGATGGTAAACAGAATGCAGTTTCACTTGAGCTAGAAGAACTGTCCAGAGAGGGAACGATTATGCAACCTTTGCTCTGTCTGCAACTCTGTGAGAAGAATGATTCTTTTTGGCTTAAGGAAGCTGCAATTGGCAATTTGCGTTTTAAGTTCGACAGGAGCAGATCAGTGCATACAGTGACAAAGGCAGGCGTGCTGGAATCCCTGCAGGGGTACCTGAGTTCTTTGTTAGTATGGAGAACATAGAAAGAATCTCTGAAGAATGGGTGAGCTGTGGAGGGCTTACATCAGCCAGCAGTCAGTTAACCTAGTTCAGGGGAATTTCTAGAGGCCAGAATTTGCATCATGGCATGGCATATATATTTTATATATATATATATATATATATATACACACACACATATATATACATATATACATATATACACACACACATATACACATACACAAATATAGTATATATAATGCACATGTTCCATGTATGTGTATGTATGATCTCAACTGGTCTAGGTCACCTGAGCAACATTTAGTTCCTAGAGAGAACATAAACTGGAGGGAAGAATAACAGCAACATCTGAGTAAACACCACAAACGGTGCTGAAAGACTCCTGGAGTCTGTTAACATTTCATGGAGATGGAAGCAGTATCTTGACACTGTAACGCTAGAAAGGGGCACCAGACTTTAAAAAAACCAGAGTGAATCCACATTCCTTAGACATGCAGCCTTGCCTGCCAGTACCAACATCCATCAGCAACAGCAGCATTGCTGGGCCTGCGAGGTTATGGCTGAAGCTGACATTTCCTTTAGAGTTTTGAAAATGTACCTACAACAAGTGCTTGCCTTCACAGGCAAAGAAGAGGATGCTGTCTATGGCACACTACACAGATACAGTCTACAAAATCTCTACATAGATGATCTGATTAGAGCCTGACAGGAGGAAAACTTTGGTTTCACTCTTTAGGAGTTTATTTAAAAACTGAATCAGGGATATTTCTGAGGCAATCATTCCTGTAAGCAGACTGTTGATTCAGCATTTCTTTTCTTAAAAGAATCTGTTGCCTAGGAAGGTATGCAAAGAAATTCCCTATTCTAAACCCGAGGCCAGGAATGAAAGATGATGTTGAAGCAAGAAATACAAACATATTCTCTTTCACATTTGGAAAAAGAAAAAAAAAAAAAAACAAACACCTGCCTGACAAGAAAGTGCAGAGAGGATGGATGTTCTTCCTGATGCTGCATCTGTGTGCACAGGAGGACAGAAATGGCATATGAACTGTGTTCCAGACAGGCTGGCACTAGAAACTACTGTCTGCCCTCCTCAAAACTGTTTCAGGACAAGACAGCCTACAATTATTCACGCATTTCTTCATTTAAAAACATCACTTCTTTATTTAAAAGGAAGAAAAAAAAAAAAAAAGCAATGACCCTCCCAACCCCTTCAAAGAAAAAAAAAAACACAACAAAAAACCAACAACAACCCAATAATAATAATAATAATAATAATAATAATAATAATAATAATAAAAAATCCTATTAGAAACGATAAGGAAGCACTGAGAGTTTGAGTATAACACTCTTCAAGTATGCTGTTTGGATTTTTTTTTAAATCTGTGAATATACATACATTAAAAAAAAACCTTAAAAGTGCGACCAAGGGCTTTGCTTAAAGGTAAGTGTTTCAAGGACTACTTCAAAATACTGTAGCACGACTGTGCAGTTTCTGTATGTGGCATGAGGCTTCCACTTCATACACTTAGCAAAGTTAACCAGCCTTATAGAAAGTCACTGTTCCGTCAGGTCAGCACAAACGGCGAACCCAGACGCTGAGTCGGGAAAGAGATCCACACGTTTTGTTTTCTTGTAAAGAAACCACTCCGAACCCATACATTTGGACATGGAATGTGAGCAGACTTCACAGTAAAAGTTTAGTGTTACAGGTTTGCTGTGGTACCATCCCTCAAGGCTGCGTGCACTACATTTAGTTTTGCTCATCTTAAGTTAATCACATTTTCCTCTTCCTGACAGGTTTAGTACAGTAGTTCAAGCCACAGTTTAAATTGCCCATTGGTATGCTCCAAATTTCTGTATTTTATTTATTTATTTTGTACACTTTAAAGAATCTTAAGATTTGCATCCAAAGAGAACCATGCTACATAAAAATTATCCGGGATTCTCGCCAAAAAGAGTTCTTGAATAAAATCTAAAAAATACTATTGCAATGCATCTCGCAGAGAAAAAACGTTATTCTAAATGTAAACAAATTCACTCAGACACTTTAAAACTTCAGCGGAGTAGTTGCTGACTAATCTTTGCCACGCTTGCTCACCGAGTGTGCTGGGAGGGGCGATGCAGCCGATTCCTCATGGCATCATCTGGGGGGAGACAAAAACCGTTCCAAGTAGCCAGAGATGGCATCCCAGTGCTTCCACAAAAAGGCAATGAAAACCACTATGAATAAAGTGCTGAACGTCCTATTGCGAGTTTTCATGAGGGGCACGACACAGTTGGCCACAGTGGAGACGAAGACAAGGAGGACAGCCATGACAGCCAGGAGGATATTGATAAACTTCCCCAGCAGGTTCCTGGCTGTGGCGTTCTCCAGACCCTCCAGCTGCACCACCTGCTGCTGCTGCTGCTGTAGCTCCATCTTGGAGATGCGGGTCTGGCATGCTTCCAGGGCCTCCTGTAGATAAGAACACACCGCTCGGTTCCAGCACCCCACGGGCTGATGCTGCAGCAGCCCAGGGCTCTCATCTTAGCAACCAAACCACAACAGGGCCACCTTCCTCACGCGCCTTCTGCAGGATGTAAGTCATGACGCTGATTTCATATCCTGCAGCAGGAGAAGAGGCGGTGCCACTTCATGTGATTGAGGAGTCCTCATCAACTAAGTGCAGCAGTGTGTAAGACATCGTGTGACCTCACTTCCCTGAAAACGTCTCGAAGGCGTAAGGTGACAGCTTTGGCAGAAGCCAGGCTTTGTTACAACACTTCGCACATAAGCTGTCTGTCTTTGCACATGGCAGAGGTGTTACCATCCTTCCTGTTTTGTGGTCAGATCCATAGGAAGGAAGACACAGAGCCCTCAGCAAGCAGACAGCCTTCACCTACTTGAAAGGAGGGCTGCCCATCTCAGTTTGTTTCAAGAGACCCTTGAGGGATGAAGGCACTGTGTTCTGCCAGCACTCCTCTTCCTCCCTCATTCTGCGTGTTCCCAGAGCCTCTCATTTCCATCATTTTTTTCCTCTGGTTTGTGCTCATCTGTCTCCCATTCAACCCTCAACCTGGCACAATACTGAGTCAACAGCAACAACTAACTGAAAAGGCTCAGCCGCATCCTGCTTGGTTAGTGAGCTGAACAAGCCCAGGGAAGGCTCTGAGAATGCAGGGCTGGGGTTGCCCAGTTGGCAACCAGGAGAAGTAGCTGCAGGCTGCTACCGCACCTGGCCAGCACACCCACCACCAACAGGCAGTGGGTGGGTTAGAACAAGTAGGAGAATTTGAGGCAATCTGCTCACAGAGATATGAAGTTACAATTTTGCCCTCAGTGCTCCCTCTGGACTGCTTTTCCCAGGACCTGAATGCCGACTTTGGTAACAGTCAGAAGTCTGAGCAGAGCAGCGATGTCCCTCAGACTGATGATCAAATCAGAACCAGGACCTGTGCCTGCAGACCAAGCTCTGTCGCTGCTCCTCTGCAGCACCAGCCTATGCCCTTGGCTGTTCCTTCACGCAAGAAAACCGAACGTTTATCTTTTCCCCAGCAATGCTGAGGAATAGCTGGTCCCTATTTGTACTAAAGTTTATACTAAAAGTGATGAACCAGGGAATGAAGAATAGAAGAAGCTATTGAGAACATCCCTATTCACTTTAAGTTTCCAACCTCAATTCTTCCTGCTGCATTAAATTAGAAAGGAGGATAAAATGTGAATATTGCAACATTCCCCAAAGGGAGAGACTGCTGTTTACTGCCAGAGGCCGCAGACGCTGATTTATGTTGAACTTAACATAAAGGTCATTGCCATCTGTTACATTTCTCTGCCTCTTTGTAACACCTGTGGAAGTCAATGAAGCACAAGGGCATTCACTCTTCAGTTATGCCACCTGAAGGTAACGGGTAATACTGAGCAACACCTGCAAGAAGCAAGGAACCCAAAACAGGCATTGACTCAACTCGCCTTGCAGCTGGGCCTACTAGTGCCAGAGCCAGGCCTGCCTTGTCTGCAAAGGTGCTCCTGGGTGGAACTCCTTCAGAGGAGGAAAGGGAGGACTCTGACCTACAGTTCTCCACTCACGTTATAAATATCTCACATCTACGCCTAGATGCCTGCTAAAGCAAATGCAACAAGAATTTAAAATAGATGACAGATTTGTTTCTGAATAGGCCTTGACAAGGTCTAGCTGCTGCTCAGATCATTACCCAGGTCTTTGCTCAGTGTCTGCTCAGGTCTGTGGAAGGCCCTCCCACCGTACAGACTGTCCTTAGCTTTGGTCCTTAAACACTGAAGAAACCTTTCATTTAAAACTATCTCTGTACTTGGGCAAATCAACAGAAATAACTGTTTCCTGACAAAATGCAGTGGATACACAAAACCATCTGTATTTTTCCTAAGACATCTTTGGTGACTGCTCTAAAATTCATGACACAGAAATGCATCCCAAATGAGTTCATTGGGAACACTATTGTAAAAAAAAAAAAAAAAGCTTCAGGTCAGAGCCCATTAATTTCCAATATCCAAACAAAACCCTGCAAATAGAGCCAGTATAAAAAGTGGGTGCCTGCTTCCACTGTGCTATAAGTCATTTCAAAACCCTTATCAGAACAAGTGGAGGTCCCCTCAGGATGAATTTGCTCACTGAATGTGCACAGCCTTTCACTGCAGAATAATTATCTGGGGAGATACCTGGGGATAGAGACTGAATAAAGATCTTATGGAAATCTTCAGTGTAAAGTTTAGCAATAAATCTGTGGTGATTCATAACAAATACTGAATCAAAGAAGTATTTAAAAAACAGCTACTGAGGGAGCAGGTGGAAGCCCAGACTTCAGTGCTCCCATTTCTGTCACCCACCTGGATGTCCCGGGCTCGCTCATAAGACTGATAGGCAATTTTCTCCTCCATGCTGGCCAGCTCCTGTTTCAGATTCAGGATCTCATTTTGATGGAGTTCAGTCAGGTCATTTAGCTGCTCTTCGAGTCTTTCACATCTAGAAATGAGATGACATGGTACAGCAGCTTTATTGAAAATAGGGAGGCAACTGTTGGACCAGTAACAACAGAGTAGTGAATACCTCAGACTTGTTATTTAAAAATGACTGCACCTACAAAATTTTGCTTTATAAACAATGTGAGGCCCTCAAGAAAGCCCTTCTACCAGGTAAGATAGCATTAGAGATGGAAGAAATCAAGTGAAGAATTAGCATATTTATTCTTCAAACTTTTGTTTCAACCAGAATAAATTCCCTTCTAATATTATAAACTCTTAAGCAATTTCCTTCACCCCTGGAAAGGTAACTGCAATAAAAATGACAATGAAATTATGTGCAGTAATATGCCTTGGAGAACATGATAGCATATTCTAGCCTTCACACATGAGACTGCACAGAAGTCTGATTTATTGATGTATTTTTAATTTCTTGCAAATGATTCAGCCTAACTAGCAAAGACCACTGTATTACTTACAAGAAGGACACATGAATCACTGAACTGCAGGCATATTTTTCAGTTTGCTATGGTGAGCAGGCTGAGAGCAGTTTGGCAGAAGAGGGCTGCACAAAAAAGGATTTATGACATCTCTGAGAAAGGTTTGTTTCTCAGTAAAGGAGTTTTAAACGGACTTCAGCAACAGCTTCATGTTATTTCAGAATCTTCAAAATACATTAGGAATACTTTGTATTTGTATGCAGCACTTCATCCTTGGAATTCCAAGCCCTTTACAAGCAACTCATGTTTCAACATGCTTTAAAAATCAGGCAAGTATTTGTCTTGTTCCCAAAAGGTAAACGTGAAGAGAGCTTAGCCCAGGGGTGAGAACAGCCAACACACCAGCCTTCTCCTCTGTGCTCCCCACTGCTTCCTCATTCCTGGTCCGTTATCAGCAATGCTCTGATGGCAAGGAAGGTATGGGTACAACTATTGCAGTGCTCTTCCCACTCTGATTTCCACTGACTGCGCTCACTGTAACAGCTTGGAAAAAGTTTAAAGTACAGCTCTTATCATCTGCTCTTGATACTACTAACAGAGAAATCTGTACAGAATTCAACACAGATAATTCCTTAATTTCTGTCCCCCTGTGCCCCACATCAATTTAACTGATGCACATATATACACACATAAAACAAATAAGCACTACCTCTCCATAAATAACAATTTAAATTCTGAAAGTAAATCAAAAATTCTGCTCCCCCCCTTCCCCAAGTTTTTCAGTGCTTCATGAGCTACATATTCAGAATCCGTAGGCATAAGCTAGTACTGAACAATGCTTTTAGGTTTTTATTTTAAACTGAAAAGTCTAAAGCAAGTTTTCATTCACATTCTCAATGCAACAGCCACTTAAATTAAAAAGGAGGAGTCGGGCACAGCAGACAGCTTCCAACAAGTGTTTGAGCAGCAGCGAGCTCCAGACAGCCCCCAGCTGACCCTGGAGGTGCCAGGGCTGCTGTGCCACTGCAGCAGAGCACACGAGGGAACTGGTTTCCCAGGAACTACAAGCTTGAGCATGAGAGAAGCCATGTGAAGACTGGCTAATGAAGAAGGAACCCAGATAATTAATGTTGCCATTTGTTTCCACCTCATTAAAAAACAACAACAACAACAACAAAAAAAAAACACCACAAAACTTGCCATCAACCAAGAACGCACAACTAAACTCACTCAGGAGTCCCAAAGGTAGCACAAATCACTTGAAACATTCCATTTGTTATTGTATTTTAAAGTCCTTCAGTGGGTTTTCACACCAAAAGGAACTAAACCATTTCTGAAAACATCATGAGTATGTATTTTAACCTCCTACATAAACACCCTTCACAAAACAGCTGTTGCCAAGCAGCTTAAATCCTGTTCCTTTAAAAAGAAACAACTGTATTTTAGTAAGATCAAAACTGCCTGTCTATAGGAAACATAAGGAAAGCCTCCAAAGCCGTACAGTTAGGAGTTCAACACGACTGGCACAAGGCTGGCCCCACCGCACAGAGCAGACTGCTGCCTTGCCCGGGCTCACAGCTGCCTGACTCCAAGCTCGCACCCAAGAAGCACCGGAGTTCTTTCACAGACAGAAGCCATGCGTTAGGCAACTGGCAGAACTGGGTTAATAATAATAATCACTTATTTCTGAAATTCCTCTGTTAATCTCCTTTTCATTCCTTGTCTCATTGTCTACAATGTGAAACGTGGTTTGTTTTATTTTTCTCATGTTTTACACTGCTGTTGAAGTCTCAGAAGCTAAGAGAGCTTCACTTGACTCCAAGGGCCTGAAGATACAGTTCTCCTGTTAATAGATGGTTCAGATTTAATTCAAAGGTATTACCTGACACCTGCCAAGAGCTTCCCATTGTACAAGTGCCAGTGTCCGTGCAAGACACTGGGAGTTTGTCTGTGAAAACAGCAGTACCTCAGCCAGCCAATTCACACTCTGTTCCAGGTACTGAAAATTCCTCATTAGAGTCGACTAATTTATCACCAGCTAAAGTGTGAAATTTCTCCTTAAAATTTCTAGAGTCTAGATTGACAAGCACAGCAACTTTTCTATGTAACAGAGAAGTGACAATTGTTGCATTTACTTCATCATCAGAGACGCTCGTACGGAAGGCACTGGGATACTGCTGGGAGCTCAGGTGAAGCGAGGCACATGGAAACACTTCACTGGGAACAGCCAGGTCAGATTTCCACATATTTTCTGAGGCTTGTTTGGAAATCAGAGAACTGACTTAAAAATTACTAAGAAAAAGGATTACAGCTATCTCATTTTTCAAGAGCTTTGAGGCATTTAAAGCATTTTAATAGCCGCAAAACACACAGCTAGTACAGCATATGCATCAGAGAGCCACGATGAAGACATTTTACTTATGTTCAGTGAGTGCTCTGGCAAGTGAAGAAACTTACTGAACAAACGCTATACGATCTTTACAGTACACACAAACAGAGGGTTTAATCTCTCTCTCTTCAAACATCTCTCAAGATACCATTTTTGTGGAGGGAGGGGCTATGTCCTACAGAACGTCACCCAACTTTTATTTCTCAAGTATGTTTTTTATGATGCTGAACACACTGCTTCCAACAGCAGAGCAATACAGCTAAAAGCAATACCTATTAGCAGTATATTCCAAGACTTCTACCTAAGCAACACTCGAGGGGCAGAGCTGTTCTCTGTGTCACTATTCATGCTGTGCTTTCAGCTCCAAGAGCTCTTCTGGTGAGAGAAAATAGCTTTGTGGAAACATCTCAGTGCCTCATACTTAGGTGAAGATCCTTCTATGCCGAGCACAAAGCATTTGCTGCCCTAGCTTATACTGTTCAATCTTCCAGTCCCAGAATTTTAGCACACTTAATCTATTTTAAAATAAATGAGAACAGACTGAAGCCCAACAACAAAATGCCAACAAGGATAGTGTGAGCTCCCAGCATTTCAGCTGGTGGATTTCTCTGACAGGAACGTGGGGGATCGGAACAGACTTTCCAAGGATGCTGGGCTGGGAAGGAGCCCAAGACCTCAGCCTGGCCACACTCCAATCGCATGAGCTCATTATTTCAGTGCGTGCAAACAGGTTCCTGAAGGGACAAGAAAGATGAAAACACAGCAGGAACTTTTATGTCAGTCTCAATAGCACAGAAAGTCCCTGCTCATATCAGTAAACAACTGCCACCTTCCAACTGCTGAGATAAGTGGCAGGCTGCCCCAGGGCCTGCTCCCAGCATGGAGGCAACACAATGAGCGCAAAGGTGCAGGCCAGAGTCCTCCTGCCTCCACGGCTCGTGGGGCCATCCTTTGCCAACACGTGTCCCTGGGTGCTGCCAGGCTGGTCCAGCATCCCCTCAGCCAAGGGCTGGAGTGGCTGCACCAGTGGAGCCTGCGGAGATGGCTGACAGGGCAGCTGTGCTGACAAGGAGACTGAAGTGAGGACAGGAGGCAGATGGAGCAGGTCAAGGAACACCAGTGAGTCAGGCCCTCGCTGATAAGCAGAAACAAAATGAGCACGCAGATAAAACAGACTAGAACCTGCAGAAAAGCAGAACATCTAAGAACAAGGAAATAGACCAAGACTGGATGAGAAAACATCACAACATCTGCTTTGTTTCTTCCTGTTTACACAGATGATGCAAATATTCCACATAGCCCTATAAGCAAAGGCTTCTCTACAATACACATTTTTAAAAACTCAAACTAGGACTCAGTGCTTGTTTTTGAAAGCATCCAGAAATACAGCAGAGTTATGAGGCATTAATAGCTTTTAAAGGCAGGCTATAATTAGTTTGAGTCCCCTGTCTTGAACATCAGCTTCCATTTCCATCTTTCCTTTCTTTTTCTGAAGGAAGGGTTAATGGCCAGAGGAACAAGTGCCAGCTTTCCACGCAGGGGAGGAACATCTTCTCTGCTGTCACACTGCTCTCCTGGCTTTTATCTTCCTGATATATTAAAAGATGAAGGCTGTCAAACAAGAACCTAGACTCGTACAATTTCTCTCAATGTATTAATCCATGAGCTCCTTGTTGTTACCTGCTCATTTCTGAAAGCCTGCAGAGGCAAGGGCACTTAGCGTAGTTCAACCAGTCCCCTCTAGAGGTCACACCTTCGACTAATTTGCATCAGCTTTCCAAATGGCAAGTCTCAACCACTACATTTTTGTCTGTATAAATCAAATATAGACTCTCTTGAAAGCTCTTCACTGCAGGCTGCCTTAGAGGGTAGATGCTAGGCTACCCTCAGTGAGGGCTTCATGCTGGGCTCACAGAAGGTCCTACATGAACTCTGCTGAATGCTGTCAGGGAATAACTAGTCTATTTAGCTGCCAACATACATTAGTCCCCAACCAAGCTCTTTTGTTGTAGTTTCAGGCCACTCCTTCAGCTGCACAGTGCTTGCATATAGCGTTCCACTATAAATGGCTGCTGCTGTATGTGCAAAACAACAACCCACACAGCACCAAACAACAAGACCCCTCTCTGCTGTGGAGAGGAAGAGCTAACTCCCCTTCGCTTCACAGTGTGACCTGATGACAGTGAGGTACTAGGAACCAAAGTTGCTGTGCTGGGATCTGGTTTCAGTCAAATTGCTGACTGTGGTGATGTGGGATTAGAAAGTGATGCTGGTTTGGCTTTGTCTAGCCAAGCTTTGCAAAACACACAGAAAGCTTGCTGTCACTACAACATCCCAGCAGGCTAAGCCTTTTCAAATGTTTTTCCAATGATCTGGCACCAGCATGTCTGAAAAGCTGTAGAGTGACTATGAAGCATGGAGCAAATCAAACTGAGGCAGCAAATGGCACAGAGTATTTCAGAGAGCCTGTCCCCAAACCCAACAGGTGTGCTGAGCCTCACAGGCTGTGCTTTCCAGCCTGGTCTAAGTGATGAAGGCCACAAACAAGCTTTTCACAAAAGCCTGCTGTCCTCTATCAGAATGAGGAGTTGGGTCTCTTGCATTTTTCATTTAAAGTTTTTAAAGTGCAGTAGAGGACTCACACTGAATTTAGGCTGTGGTGTCCTGGGGGGTACTGACAGAAACACAGCCTCTAGCTGTCCCCTCCTCCTGTCCCTGTGGAGCTGGGGAGCAGCCTCTGCTCTGATGAGAGGGACCCTACATACTCTGCAGTGCTGGAGACTGGCAGTGTGGCAGCAGCCTCACTGCTTCCCCAGTCCTTCCAGCAAGGCAAAGAGTGACCAAAGCATGGGGCTGGTCCACCTCCAGAGCTATGTTACCTCCATGACAAGAACATTGCCACTAGCTAACATTTCATTTACCTTCATTTATTTGAACTTTGCCACTTGGAGCAGAGCCAAGAATGTAAATTCTAGTTTTGGTATAAGGGAAAAGCACATATTTTTATAGACTAAGAAAGCTGGATATGTTTTTCCCTTTAGATTCACAGCTCTGAGCATTGGAAGGGTCAGGGTCAGGATACTATTAACCTGAATCCACTTGAACCCTGCCTTGCACCAGACCTTCACAGGCTTTTCCATGGGCAAAGTACTGCCTGGCTAACAGTAATCAATGTACTCCTGTTTCCTGGGGACACCTTTCTAACTTCTTTGGCTTGACTTTTTATGATGAATAAAGTCTGAAATGACCTTTATTCTTGCTATTCCTTCCTTGTAGAGAGAGGAAAATGAGCAGTAGAATAAGGATATTTACAGAAGACAATATTACGAAAGGAAAATCGCAAGCTGACTGCAGCCTGAACCAGGCTGCCAAGTACTACTCTCCAGGACTCTCATGCTCTACACTCACAGTACTTAATATGGAAACTAGTATAAAAGTACTTACCTGTACCGTTCCTCCTGCAAAGTCTGCATTATTAATGAGTAATCCCTCTGATAGCGAACCTTAAGATCCTCAAATGACTCTTCCAGTCTTGCCTGTGTCTCTCGAATTTCTTGAATCTCATGTAGTATTGCATCAAACCCTGAGCTCTGCATATCCAGAGTGTTTGTTTTGGAGCTGGAAGCTCCCACAGGGCCCCCTGTTGTGCTGTTAGCTCCCACTGAGCCTGACGTAGCACTGGAGCAGTCCTCTTCACTGCCATATTTTGGGCTTGACTGAAAGTTCTGGATAACACCTAGAGCCTTGCCTCCTGTCCCATCTTCCTGGCCTTCTTCTAAGGAGTCTTTCAGATTGGCAATATTGTCCGCGCTCCCAAACTTGTTCCTGATGAGAGAGGCAATCTCCCGGGGTTTGGAAACCACAGCTCCTGCTGCTGAGTGTGTGGCTTGGGAGAAACTGGAAAGCCCACCTTTAACACTGTCTACTACTCCCTCACTGAATCCAGTGACTTTCGCTCCAACATCTTTCAATCCCTGGTGCATATCCCTGAAGACATCCTTTGGCTGCCGAGGGATTCCATTTTGTTCAATTTCTCGCAGCTTTCGATGGTAATGTTCTAGCTTCTTCTGCAGCTGCAAGATCGTCTGGGCAGACTTTTGATTTTTCTTCTCAAACACCTGCTTAATGCGGGCGCTCTGCTGCTTGTCTGCATTGTTGGCTAGCTTCAGGTACTCTGCCACATTGTCATCACGGGCTGTTTGTTCGATTTTGATCTGCTCGGTCAATTTCAGTATCTTCTGCTGCAGGTGCGTGATGGCTGCTTTTGTACGCTGCGGGTCTGGGGTGCCATCAACAGAGTCTGCATTGATGCTGCCATCAGTGCTTGAGGCCACTGCACTGGAGGTCTGTGCTAGGCTGCTGACTTCCAGTCGTTCAATCTAGACAAGGAGAAAGACAAACATGAGCACTAAAGTCCAGCTTTACTAATGCAGAAACCTGTCCTTTTCTGTACCAATCAAACTGACAAGGATGTAAGTGCAAAAATGCACCTTTGTTCAGCTGGCTAAGGTACAGCATCAATAAACTGATCTTCTAAAGGTAAAACATAAGCTTCACGCTTTTTACAGACATCCAACAAAAGATGAGAAAAAGGGCGAACTCTCAAATGCTTAAGTCAGCTGACGGCCCTGAGCAGCCAAAGAGCCGAGCACAAAGCAAGGCAGAGAATCCAGGTTTACAGACTGGTACCTACAAAGTATTGATATGTAGCCACAACTCAGACAGAAATGGAACAGAAGGAGAGAGAAGGCAACTGTGAAAGAGAAAAACCATGCAGCTCAAGTATATAGTGAGTCCAAGTCATTCTCAGCACTTTATGTATTTACCAGAAAGCAAGACAGTAACAGCAGTTATCAGAAAAGCAAAAGATCTACAAAGGTCAGAGCTTAGAGCAAACCTGAGACCTCAGGTTCTCAGCACGCAGTGTGTGCAGCCAGCAACAGGAGCGAGTGGGCACCTACAAGCACGAGAAGAACAGGCAACAAGTTTCAAAGAAACTTTTTTCTTTTCCTAAGAGCTGAACTATTCACCACGAAGGAACCATACAAAGTAACTAGAGCAAGCGCGGAAGTTTTTCCCTCGGCTCGGATAAAAAAAAAAGCAGCCCGGCAGTCCAGCCGAGCCGTGACACCTTCCGTTCTCCGATGCGGTTCATTCGGCGCCACTGAGCGCGGCCCGGCCGAGCCCCGAGCCCCAGCGCAGCCCGCCCCGCAGCGCCGGTACGCCGCTACCTTGGCCGTGCGGAGCAGCAGCGCCCGCTCCCAGCGCACGGCTCCGCCGCGGCGCCCCACCTGGCCCCGGCCCGCCCCGCCCGGCTGCAGCGCCCGCCCCGCTGCGGAGGCGGTGGCCCGTCCGGCCCGGCGGCGTAAGGTGCAGCGGCCGCGCAGCCCCGGGCGGGCTGGGGAAACCCGGCTCCGAGATTCAGCAGGCAGCGCTCGGCCGGGCGGAACCGGGCAGCAGCGGTGCCCGCCGGTCGCGCACCCCCAGTGCCGGGGAAACAAACCCCGAGCGGCCCCCAGCTGCTCAGCGGGGCAGGAGGACGGCGTGCCTCCCTCTCCTTATTTATTCTTTACTCTAGACTTGTCCAGCTAAAAACAATTTCACTTTCGGTTCCAGGTCATGTTACCAGCACCTGCTGGTCCCATCTACGGGACTGCTGTGTTTACCATAGCTTAGCAGTTTTCTGAAAAGCAGACTAACGTGGTGCCTCCACTGTACCACCTCTATTTAACGATGCAAAAACAAATACACGTTTTGGCTTTTACAAATGCAGCGAGGAGCTCTGTAGCATGCTGGATAAGCAGGCTGATCCATGCCCTCCGTCTGTGTCCAGCAAACAAGTGTTAGCGCGACACATTTGATCAGCCAGCAGCCTGATCAAAGCACTGGGCAGCATCCTGACTACTTTACTTACACAACTGCCAGACAGTTCAGAGCTCACCCCCAAATGCAGAACACATTACCATATCTGTCTGGTGAATATAAGCTTCACCAAATAACAACTATCAGAATTAATTGCATCCCTCTCTCCAGTTCCAACATTTTATGTTGACCATTCCCTGCAGCCCAGCAGCACTGCATGCCGCGTGCAGTGAGGGTTCTTCCCAGCAACTTTGCACTGGGGCTGTCTGCTGTCTCACCAAGATGAACCAATTGGATGCACAGAACATTTAGCTACCTTATTTTCTAGAGGAGTTCAACTTGTCACTGTTCCAATGTCTTCCTACGGTCTGGAAGGAAACAAAGATCTACGTGCATCAGGCATGCATGATCTAGACAGTGCCCACCGATTCTATGTGGCAGCGCACAGAGCTCCCTGTCAGCAGATCCTTACAAGCTGTAGCACACCGCTCCATTTTCTGCTTTCCCAGCTTGCCATAAGCTACAAAACAGCACACTATAGACTTCTTTATTCAGAACACCACCACAATCTTATTATTCCTCTTAATTGCCTCACAAAACGAGTTGGCTGCTCAAAAAGAAAGCTACCAACTTATTTGTGAAGATCTGTATCTACTCAAGAGGTAAATGTTAGTATTAAAAGCAGAAGAAAAAAAAAAGAAACAGAACCATCAATTTTATGCCTTTTTAAAATTTAATTAATTTAAAGTAACCCTTTTTATACAGAAGCACTTTTGTTCTTGGTGGCAGTACAGGCGAGTGCCTGATCCCATGCCCAGTACCACTGACCCCAGTGGCTGGGAGCTCACCCACAACACAGATTGACTCCAAGCAAAATTCGGCACATTCCAGTGCAGAGGAGCTAAATGGGACTTCAACGTTACTTTGCAATGAGCAGTTTCTACCAGCTTAATTTACTGCAAGTTGGGTCTAATTAACATCTGTGCATAATTACAATAAATTACGCCATCAGTATACTCTATCCTCTCAGACAAGAGTTTTGTGGGAGGAAAAAGTCTGCAGAAACCTTCTCTTTCTCCCTTTTAAAGTCAATCAACTTCAGCATATCTTCTTGGGTTGTTTTTCTATACTCATGACAGAAAATAAATCAGAAGAGCTGTGTTAGAATAAAACATCCCGGGTTAATTATTTTAGAATTATCAGCTGTGTGGACATTACTCTGGATGAACAAGAGCAGTTTTTTCCAATTAAAAAGTAAAGGGCTGTATGGAGCTCTGTTCTGGATCTGAACTGGGGCTTTGGGAAGGGAAGACTCAGCACAGTCAGGTCCCTCAGCACACCAAGAAGTGCTGTGACGCGTTATTGATTGAGGATGACTGGCAATCTGTCCTGAAAGTATGCTGGGATACAAAATATTGTAATGGTCAATGTTTGTATATAAATAGGGATTACAGTCAATCAGAAATTCTCTCTTGCAATACAGTTTGGCAGTACCCCGGAGTCAGTCCAAACAGGAAGGGCTGCCGGCCGCCCACCAGCGGGAAGCTGGAGGCTGCTCTGGCACTGAGCTGCCCAGCAGACCGAGTCACAGAAGACCAACTCCTTTCTTCTTCTCCCCATTGAACCTCCATCGGGTCTTCCCTTCTGTACAAGTGTTCCTCCATGCTCGTTTCACAATCACTGCCCTTACAGAACCTATGGTTTTGCCTTTTGCCTTTGCTGAAGACTAGACTCGAATGTTCATTTCAGATGTGTCACCCTCCAACAGAAATCACTTCAGGATTTTACAAAGTTTTTTTCAAAAAATGAGTTTTTGATCATTTTTTGTTTGTTTGTTTGTTTTTTTAGAACAAACTGGGCAGCTGGCTGAGGCAAACAGCAGCACTCCAAACAGCTCTGCTTCAGAGAGACACTCTGCTCCTGCACCCTCCACCCTCATGCAGAGCTTTGAAAGTGTGACTGCAAGGCACTGTGCTACTTGGTACAGAAGTAGGGAAGCTGAGCAGGGAATGGGGACCGTAAGAGCTGAGAGCAGCCCCGGAAGAGTGCTGGGCAGCTCCCACACTGCCATTAGTCATCTCCCAGTGACTGAGCACTGTGCAGTTGTATAAACTAACTGCTAAAAAATGCGGGCGTTTGTCCCACCCTGCTGTAGTTAAAGCAGTGCAAGTAATACCACCAGAAAGCTGCATGCCTTGGATTCCCCGCCTGGGGACGTGACAGAGCGCTGGCTCAGGTGTGCTGCGGGTGCTGCAGGAGGGCCACAGCAGGAGACAGAAACCTCCCGCCTCAGGCAGCAGAGTGGGGACAGCAATCTGCAGTGACAGACACGAGACTTCTTACTAAACAGACCTGTAATTAAAGCACCTCATGGGAATAAAGATCAGAGAGGAGAAAAAAGAAAGACAGCCTTTCATGCTGGCCACATCTGCCAGCTTACGGCGCCTTGTAGGCCTGAGCGGCACCACAGCCCGTGGGCCCGGCCTGCACCCTCCCAGCCAGGGCTGCGGGGCCACGGCGAGGCTCAGAGCTCTGCCCTGAGCACGGGCAGCAAGTGAGGCCCCGCTACTCGTCCTCTGAACTCCCACAACATGCTTGGTGTTTATTAAAGCTGTTAACTATGTGCTTGGGGTGGGTAATTACTTTTGACCTCTCCTGCATCTCCTTATGTTTTCAGCCACAAAGCCATTTATTTCCTACCCTGCTATGTTCAGTAGTGACTCTGAACACCGAATTGAAAGGTTGTTCTAAGGCACTTTTTAAATTATATTTTCTGTGCCAAAAAGGCAAGCTTTAAGGGAAAAAAAGAATACTCACAAGTGGATGCAGACAAGCAGAACAGCTCTTGAGATCTCTGGAAATCAAAACAAAGATAAAAAAAAAAAACAGTGGATCTTGGAAGTGGAGAGCACTACTATAAAACAGGACCAAAATTCTTTTGGAAAAGATCATACTCGAATGTTAAAATCAATCCAGTCTCCCATGCAAACACAGTCATGTTTTACAAAGAACTATCTCAGATGTCCCTTATGAGAGGTTCTGTACCAGAAGACTTCACTTTTCATTGCTCCTGGCTCTAATAAATTTTTTAAAACTCTTCAATAAAGGGAACTGATATTTTGTGATTCCACTCCTGTAAGCCTGGAAGAACTATTCACAGAAATGCCAAGTTGCAGTTCTAAAAATAATCTGATAGCAGATACAAATCAGTGAAACTGATCTCTGGCAGCTGATGTCCAACTGGGTAAGCCATTTCATTGCCATTTTAGAGTAACATTGTAAACAAGAAACACTGATCATTGATTTTTAGCTGCAGCAAAAGAATAGAAGACTAGAAGTCCCTACCTCATAATACACAACTTTTTCAAAAAGTCACGTCTGTGATCCTGTGACAGCCAAGTGCTCTGTGGCCCCCCATTAAGGGGTAATTCACATCTGCTGGGGCGAATTACAATTCTACTACTTGGAAGAGGACATTTTCTCTTATGTTTGGAGCAGCTGGGTCAAGAGGCACCTC